GGCAGGACGCCGAAGATGAATATCCGTCGCGGCGCGGCGCGAAGCGCCGCGACGGAACGGTCTCGTGTGTTTGTAGGCCGAGTATTGATACGAATAATCTTAGAGCTTAATAGGGAGGGCTTTATCTTCATCTTGTACTCAATATGAAGCAGTTTGTCGAACACTTTGTGGCGTGCTGAAGGTATCTTCAAGGCTGTATCGTGCTTGACTATTTGTACTAGATACTCCAGGCTTATCGTAACCTGCCACACGTGAACTATGCTGAACTATGCCAACCACAGAGAAATTCGAAGCTCTGCGCCGTCTCGTCGCGGCGCTTCGCGCCGCGCCGCGACGGATATTCATCTTCGGCGTCCTGCCGGTACCTCGTACGCAGCCTACGTCGTCGACGCACAAGGCGCACTGCGATCGCGCGCGACGGCCGTTGCCGTGATGCCATCTGCCCAGGCGGTGGGCGCAGGCGGATAAGACGCGCGGGGCGGATAACGACCGCGAGACGCGGATAGCAACCACTTGCTATCCAACTTTGAACGAGACTATTGCAGGTCTGAATCGTCTCCAAGGCTTCCAAACTACAATGAGCGCCGTAGCGTGGATGGCGATAGAGTGCGGCATGAGAAGAAAGGAAGGAAGGGAAGACGGTGACCTTGTCCCAAGCGGGAAAACAAGGACAGATGTGCGTGGGCGCGTCGTCCCAGCGCGATCATTTGAATTAAGCGGGGCAGGCTTCACAGGCGTGCGCCTTTCACTCTCGAACCGACCACGATCCATCCACTGCGCGTATATATATCGCACATGAGAAATATGTCGTCCGGTAGCCCGCACCGCTTCAGACATTATGTCCTCCTCCTCCTCCTCCGCTGCCTACCCCGACACTCTGCCGCCCCGTGAGCCAAGCCCGGTGCCTATCAACCCGCTCTCGCCTGCACCAAGCCTGCGCACTCAGCGTTCGCGCCAGCGTCTCCGGTTGCCCTTGCCGCGAGCCGAGTCCCCGCCCATCCCTCCCACTCTGATCGGCTCTCCGCTGCTGCAAAACACCAAGTCGCGTGCGCGCACCGTGAGCCTGAACCCGGTTTCGTCTGCGAAGCAAGTCGTCGAGCGCCGCAGGACACGCTCACACCACCGGCGAACATCCTCCATCTCGATCTCGCCCAACTCCACCACCCGTACCAATGCACGTGCGCGGTCGCCTCCGCCCTCCCCGCGCCGACCATCCATCGCGCCGCCTGTGCCGCCTATTCCCGACTTTGCGCGCGTTGAAGCCCGCCAAGCTGTCCTGCGCCCGCGCCAAGTAGCGGACGACGTCGTACCTGTGATCACCATCTCCCCTCCAGCCCCGGATGTGCCACTGCACCAATCGCGCTTCTCGGCAGTCCCCCGCGCCGCGGCGAGCAAGGGCTTCACTTGCATCAACTATCTCGCTATGCACAACTCGCGCGGCCCGATGTCCGTGAGCGCGTACTAGGGACATCACGCTCTCCCGCGCTAGTGCGGCGCTCGCAGCTAGCGGACCCTCAAATAACAGCGCCCGTTGACGGTGGCGCTTGCTGCGATGAGTGCGCCCATATTACGGTGGCTGCTGCTTCCGGGTCTCCCTGTCTTGTACTCCGAACTCGCATATCTTCCATCGAGCTCTCATCACTGCTCTCGCATTACTCATCATTCGCATGCTCTGTACCTGCCTGACACTCATTATCCCGTTATCGATTTCATTGTGTCTTCCATTCGCTAATGCCTAGCCCGTATACTCGTATAATACCCGCTATCTATACAAATTAAACCCCCTCGTCTTGTTGTTGCATCACCTCGAAGTCATTGAATGGACCTGTAGTATCGATGTACATAAATCCGAACAGTACCTTGTTGGCGTTCTGCGGATGATGTCGCCCCAACAGCCATAATCCCAACAATCATGCAATAATGATCGTTCGCTTGTCCGTCTGTTGGGATCTGAGTCTCGGGGCTACAAGCAACGACGCCTTCGGCGTCATCTCTGACGAGGACGCAGAACTTTCATATCGAGAGCTGCGCGCAGCGTAAGCCTGATAGACAGCCTGCCCATAGCTGTTCGGAGTTGACTGGGACGATGCGCTGTACGCAAGCAGACGGACAGCACGCTAGATGCACTGGGAGTAGTGAGATACGCAAAGCTTGGTAGATCGCGGCCGCCAGACGCCACTGACAAGTTTCCGCAAGAAAGCCAAGTCCGGGAACTGTGGGATGTGATAGGTGTTCCCCAGTACTAGCATGGGGGCGCATTCCTTCTCCGAGCCCTCCGACGGCTCGCAGATACAGTAAGCAAGCTAATCCCAGAATACTCACTGTGTGCATATGTAGCGCCAATCATCTTCGCCCCCCATGGATATGGCAGGGCATTTGCCAAATGGGTGCTAAGAGGCAGATGGAACTGTCAATACTTTGAACACCGGGCGTCTATGCCGGCAAGTCAGTCGAAGAAGCGATCGGAGCAACAGTGTGCTAGATAGCGGGCTTCTTGTATGGACGAGACGCGCAAGTTGAAAGACAGGAAGGCAAGAGAGAAGCATGATGTCGGCAATCGGAAGTGTTATGAGACTCGAGTGTAAAATGCACTAGACCATATGCTTCATCAATCCTACCGAGTGCCGATATGGGCATGGCAGGTTTGATACCGAAGGAGAGGCAATCGCGAACATATATCATCTGGGAACTCCGTCTTGTACGTTGACTTCCGTGGCAGCTGCGAGGGTGCATCGTCCAGAGTGAGTAGCCACATACTAAGTATTGGGACGACCTTGATGATCGAAATTATGCCGTTCGGGTACGATGAGCACATACATAGCACACCGAACTTGTGTATTGGTGTGCAAAACGATCATGGACATGACGGCCAAGTAGAGGTAGCGCGGAAGTCATGTTATATGATTGATCTATGTGCAGCGTGTCCTGCACACCGTGGAGTCTGTGCTGTGGGCATCACGGTGACGATGACAAAATAAAGCGAAGTTGGCAAAACGTTGAACTGCGCGGACGCCGGACATGTCAGCGGAGGGCCGGCGATTGCCGCGCTTGACTGATCCGAGTGATCCGGAAAGAACATGGTAGTTTAAGCCTTTCCTCGCGCTTCCATGAGGACTCTAGTAACGCACGCATATACGCACCAGGAACTCCTGGTAATCTTGCACGCTAAGAACCATCTGCGTCTTCGTGGAAAGTCTGCTCCTGCTCATTGTAAAGGCTATGCTGGGCATCGCAATGGCGGTACGATGTCGGATGGTGATTTCCGACTTCACGGTCATGATGACCGTGGTCTGGTGGCACATCAGCTCGTAGGCGCTCGCGCACACCTCATCAGACTCGTGTCATACTGGGAACGATGCTGATACCTGGACATCGGGTGCTAGACTTGCCATACGATACAGTGACGAGGTTAGCGAGTGTACAGCCGTGTCAACGTAGTCGTACTACTCACGCGTCGACAGACATTACAGCAATCCAGTCTGCCTGAGAAATCTCATCGCTTGCGGTTTCACAACTCCGGTTTCGGCGCCAGAAATGCGCGTGCGCCGGCTTGAAGGAAGTGTGCATGTCCAAAGCTCTGGTCAAACTCAATGTTATCGTCCAGATCTTCAGAATTCGGGATGGGGAGGCCGCACTGACGCTGGCGTCGCCAGCGGCATGATGTTCTGATCACTCCCGCATAGCACCGTGTGGCTGATTGCTCGTTGCAGTGTAATAGGGGAACGAACTGCCTGACGGTTGCAGACGACCCTGCATCTTGGGATTGCCCTCTTACCCCAGCCACCACCTTGCTATCTTCCCTTCACTCACTTGCCTCGGGACTGCTGTCTTGTCACAATGGCTTATTCAGAGTTCTCGTATGCGGAGGTTTTGCAGGACCCTGAAATCGAACTGCACAATTCGCGCCGCCAGCGCAAGCCGCATTTTCTGAGCGGCTGCAGCGCAGGCGGACGGTTAGGATCAACTGGCATGTTCTTTGCTACGGCAGCACTGTCCGGCTTTGTCTGCTACCTAGTCTTCTCTTTCTTCTCCTCGCACCATTCACCCCCGTCACATGCGGCACCCGGATACGATGCCCATATACCCTGGGGCGCAGATGCGATCGAGATCACATCAACATCTTCCACTGGCGGAAGTGCACCCGGTTCAGGATCTTCGCCAGTAGCGCCACCGTTGTATTATCATGAGATGTCCATCGAAGAGCTTACCGACTTAGTGGCAACAACAAGAGGCTATTTCGCGCGAGATTATAGTCTAAGCCTTGGGTGGAATAATGTGCGTGTGTACCCGATGAACACTGGTTAACACGAGCTGACTTTACATATAGATGCGCTACATTATAGAAGCCGCTCACCTGCAGGCTACACTCCTCAATCGCACACTCGTACTTCCTTCCTTCGTCTATGCTCGTGCATGCGAGTATGAACTGTGTGTTTTCCTCTGCTCTCTGATGTGTCTATGTAGCTCATATGATACAGTGATGCCTGCGCGGCGTATGCTCCCATGATCAATAAGGGCAAGATGGTTGGCTCGACGGAGTGGGACAACCGGCCATACGAGCAACAGATGGGCTTTCGTGTCCCTATTCAGTACATGCTGAACGTGACCCGTTTGCGATCTATGCACCCGACAATAACGGTGGCTCAGTATCTACGCTTGCACAATCTCCCCGAGGATCTTGAGGCGAATGACGGCCGATGGCAACGTGAAGCGTACCATGTTCAAGCAGCCGCACTAGACGATGACCAATCACACCTCCCAAGTCTATCTGTGATAGAGAACCACTGGTACGACCCATGGCAGACTACGCGAGTCGACCGTGTGCCAGACGCTATGAAAGAACGAGGTGGCTGGGTGCCCGAGGGCGGCGATGCTGCCCTAGGCGAACGTGGTCATTGGACCAAAGTCGAACTCAATGACATCGGGCAACATCTGAAGGACGGCCTTGGAGAGCGCTCTGCGGTGCATGATTGGGATCGTGCTGTGGAGCTCTTGCGCGAGACGGATGCCGCAGCACATTGGGACTTGGGCACGGACAAGGGTGTCCAGACCGCGCTCCAGGCGAATGGCTGGGAGGTTCTATACACGTTCAAGTCGGTGCTATGGATGGAGTTCACCCGCACGGTCACGGAGCCCACGCGTCAGGTTGTTCTTCGCGAATCTATCCGCGGCTGGGTAGAAGAGTGGGTTAGATCAACTGAAGACGTTGTCTTACTTGTGGGCGAGACACATGTGAATCGTAAGCCCGGAGCAATGCGCTTCACAACGTTGGAGGCGCGCACGGACCTGGAGAACCGTGTGTTGCACTACGTCGTACCGCTTGATGCTATGTATACACTTGCGAAACGACTCGCGGATCGGATGCGTAACCATGTTGACGGAAGACTCTGGATGGGAGCACATATGCGCCGCGGCGACTGTGAGTTCAGCTTTCATGAAGCTGCAGGAACCGAACTCATACGTTTGCAGTCGTCAACACTGGCTGGGTCATGGAGAAGGAACCGCTGGATCACGTCAGTCGCGTCAGGGACCGACTCAGCCACGGGCGCGCGGTCCTTGAGGGTCTCAAGGACGTGTATCCCTATCCACTTCCCGGGGTCGTCGTCAATGTGGAGCAGCTCACACTAGACCCGCCAAAGCCCCACGATAAATTCTACGTCGCGACAGACGAACGCGATCCCGAGGCTTTGAGCATTATTGCGGAGAACGGCGCCATCTTCCTCGACGACCTCCTCACCATAGACGATCGTCGCAAGTTTGGATGGCCCTTGATGATTACCGATATCCGTGCCGTGCTTGAACAATCGCTGCTCGCGCATTCGAACTATTTTTACGCTCACGCGATGAGCTCTGTTGCCGGAGGCATCGTCAACATGCGTGCAGCACATGGGGCCGACCCGCGTACCGTTCTCATAGACTAATGACCTCTGCATAATGTTCTATTACATAGAGGCCGCAAGAGAGACAGTAGAGTTCACATTGTGAGTGGTGGTGATCCCGGAGGAACCCTTCGGGACTACATGCGGCGACATGAGACACAGGAGGCATCAGCGTGTTTTCTGG